AATTAAAACTCCATCCAAAGCAGAAAAGCTTTAGCCATCTTTTAGGTGTCTGACATGATGGAGCTTTCTGCCCAGCCCTGCTGTGTTTGCTTTTGGTGGGGAACTGCCTGGATAACTTGAATTTCCACTGGGATCGCATATGAAAACCGGGATGTTGGCAAGCAAAAGCTGGGCTGGGCTATTTGCAAAGCAGCTGTTGGATTTGGCACTTTCTTTGCGTTCTGTGTGGGCTTTCCTGCAAGCTCCCTTCATGCACAGGGTAGTGCACCACTCTCTGGATCCATGGACAAGGATTCCGTATGGAATACGGTGCCTGCAGCCCCGGCTGCCGGGAGCTGCGGCCCCCACACAAGATCCTGGGATTTTCTAAACATTCCCTAGCGCAAAGGAGGTGCCGGCACCATGGAAAGGCCCCGGGATGGTGGTGCTGGGCCGGTCCCACCGGGCTGTGCCACATCCAGCAGCTCTCTTGGGAAATACAAGCCGCTTATTCCACATGTGCTGCTGTTTTCACTGCGTGGTTCTGCCCTCAGTGGCCCAAATGCAGGAATGGTGCAGAAGTGCCTGGACTATGCAGCATTTTCGAGCAAATAGCAGCTGCTGGGGCTGCAGCACTTGGAAATGCTCCTCTTTCCCCGTACTCAAAGGATAGACGAGCATCCCGTGGGGATTTTAAGTGTTATTTTGCCCGTGACACCTCCGTGCCGGCACTTAAGGGCATGTGAAGGTCCCCGCGTGTGTGGCCCCGAGGCAGCCGCATGCGTTAGTGGGGGCGAAGCCACTTGTCCCCCCTTCACCCGGGCTGTGACAATGTGACGCGGCTACGTGACACTTGTGGGCGCGCATCTGCTCCGCCGTAACCCATCGCACATCTGGGCCCTGCATCCCACGGCCTCGGCATCCCCGGAGCTCCCTCCTCATCCGTCCCCTCCATGCGGTGTCCCCAAGTGCTGCTGCATCCCTGGAAGGACCTCTGGGGTCTCCCCTGGGCGCCAGCTCCCCGTTTTGGGGGTGAATCCCTGATTTTTTGGCAGGGGGGAGAGGCTGCCACTTGTTTGTCACCTTCCACCAAACGGCGGCGGACGTGGA